ACTGTATGGATATACCACACTTTATTCATCCATTCATCCATTAATGGACACTTGGGTTGCTTCTGCCTTTTTGCTGTTGTGAATAGTGCTGCTATGAACATGAACATGCAAGTATTTGTCTGATTACCCGTTTTTAATTCTGTGGGTTATACATCTAGCAGTGGGATTGCTGGGTCATATGACAATCCCATATTTAAATATTTGAAGAAAACAAGTTGTTTAAGTTCTCTAGATGATTCAGTGTAAACCTAGAGTCGAGAATCACTAATGCAGAAGGTGAATGAAGCCATGAAGATAAATGGAAGGCACCAGGAAGAAGATATGGGTGGGACTATGATAAGGCCAAAGGCAAAACCTTGGAAATATATTTCAAAGGTTGTTGAAAAGATCCCATAAAGAAGACACATCTGTAGGAGGAAAAAGAAGTGTCACAGAAATAGATGAGAATCCAGTGGGGGGAGCCACTGACATCAGCTGCTGAGGAGGAATCAAGAAAGAAATTGAGAGTCTATCACGTACAGCAAGATGGAGGTCCCTGGAGTCTGGGGATGTGCTAGCTTCCCTGAAGCCCTGCTTTCAAGGAGTTGAGGCCCACATGAGACGCAAAGTAGAAAAGAGGGGAGTACTGTAATACGCTCTTATTCACTATTCCATGACACCCAGGAACATACAGGACAAATATCAAGCCTACCACAAAAATGTTATTAGGTCAATCAGTTTATACCTCAACAAATAATGTGGCACTGTCCCTGGCAGCTACAGCAGTAAGCCAAGTAGAGTACAGACCTGTACATGTTTTGCTGACCTTTTTATGACCTTTCTAGGATTTTAACTACATGGAAAATATTTGGGTATAATAATATATAATTAGCTAAATTGTTTGAGTCTAACATCAGCAAAATATTTAACAAATTCTTACATTATTTCCATTTTCTGCCTAAAACATTGTTTTAGCTTAAAAGTATTTCAGTTTTTATAAAACATTCACCAGTCTCTGAATCAATATTGATGGCCAACAGAGCTTCATGATTTCACTTAAGTTATTTTCCAAAAGAAATTATTTTCTTCTATTATTAGAGAAGAGGGTAAACTTTATAATGATTGCATTTTAAAGAGGAAAAGTGAGAATTAAGGTCAACCTTATGTTTGAAGTCACATTAAATGTAACTTAGGTTTAAATTCTCAATGAGTAGTAAGCAACATCTGAAGTACACGAGTGCTTTTATTAAAAAAAGAAAAAAAGGTATGTGTTGATTTTTTTTTTTTTAAATCTTGAGTGTGAGACCAGCCAAGAAATCTCCTGGAGTGGTAAAGTAGTACACTATCCTAGATTCCTTTTTTCAATTAGTGCTTCTATTCTGTAGACAGTAACAGTATTTAATTTGAAATTTCCTCTTTCTGGGCCAATTCCAGTTTGCACTCCTTCCTGGGAAGCCTTTGAGTGTACAGCTTTATGTGACACACAAAGCTCTCTGAAAGCAGCCAAAGAAAGAAGGGGAAAAAGATGTTTTTCTTTAGTATCAAGCACCTGGCAAGCAAAGAACTTGTTCCTGTAAAGCCTTGAAGGCATTCCTGCTCTCCCAGGAGAATCCAGACAGACTCGTTTGGATTTCCCTTTGAAAAACCATGAAGTGAGAGCACGTTTGCTTTGATTTACAGTTTACCAGACTTTTCCATGTTGTTTCTTGTTGCTTGTTTCTGTTCACCAACAAGTCAGGCTGATGGCCTCTTGACCAACTCACAGTTGGCAGGGAGAGGGACTCCTTTACCTTGACTTCTGGCCCTGGCCCTGGCCCACAACCTCGAGTGCTGAGGACCTCACAGAAATCAGGGACCTACTCAGCGGCGTTATAACACAGACACAAAGAGGAAATTACGGGAAAAGAGCATTTCACCACAACTCCTCCCCTTATTGCCATTTGCATGTCTCTGAGCTAAACTACCCAAATGGAGCCCAGGAAAGAAAGCATAGTATCAGCTACTTAAAAAAGGGAGCCACTGGCTAGGACACCAAAGCACAGGATGAAAGAATAAACAGACACATCGGACTTGATCAAAATTAAAATCTTTTGTGCTGTCAACAATACTTCCAAGAAGATGAAAAGACAGCCAACAGAATGGGAGAAAATATTTGTAAACCACATATTTTTTTTTTAAGATTTTATTTATTTGGCAGAGAGAGACACAGCGAGAGAGGGGACACAAGCAGAGGGAGAAGCAGAATCCCCGCGGAGCAGGGAGCCCAATGAGGGGCTCGATCCCAGGACCCTGGGATCATGACCCGAGCCGAAGGCAGACGCCCAACAAATGAGCCACCAGGCGCCCCATGTAAACCATATTTCTGATAAGATACTTGTATCCAGCATACATAAAGAACACCTACAGTTCAATAATAAAAACACAAACAATCCAATTTAAAATGGACTTGAACAGACATTTCTCCAAAGAATATATACAAATGTGGGCACCCGGGTGGCTCAGTCAGTTAAGCATCTGCCTTCAGCTCATGTCATGATCTGAGGGTTCTGGGATCGAGCCCTGAGTCGGGCTCCTTGCTCAGTGGGGAGTCTGCCTCTCCCTCTTCCTCTGTGCGCTATCGCACTCTCTCTCTCTCTCACTCTTTCTCAAGTAAATAAATAAAATCTTTTTTTAAAAAACGAATATATATAAAAGGCCAGTAAGGACATGAAAGGATGCTCAACATCATTAACCATCAGGGAAATGCAATCAAAACTATGAGATACCACTTTACAACTACTAGGCTAAACAATGAAAAAGACAGATAATAATCAATGGATAGATGTGGCCAAGCTAGAACACTCACAAACTGCTGGTGGGAATATAAAAGGGTATAGCCACTTTGGAAACCAGTCTGACAGTTCTTCAAGACATTAAACATAGACTTACCAGCTGACCCAGCATTTCTACTCCTTGGTATATACCCAAAAGAAATGAAAACGGATGTCCATACAAAAATTTGTATGTGAATCCTCACAGTGGCATTACTCATAATGGTCAAAAACTATAAACAATCCAAATGCTAACCAAGATGGATGACTAACAATGGTATATCCATACCATTGGAATATTATTCAGCTGGGAAAAGGAATGAGGTACTGATATATTCTACAACATGGATGAACCTTGTAAACATTATGCTGAGTGAAAGAAATCAGAAAAAGACCACATCTTATATAACTGCATTCATATGAAATGTCCCTAATGGGTAAATCTGTACAGATAAGAAAGCAGATTCGTGGCTGTTTAGTACTGAGGGAGGTTAGGGGAGGGTGAAGGAGGATGGGGATTGATTAATAATAGATAAGAGGGTTTCTTTTGGGGGTGATTAAAATATTCTAAAATTGGTTGTGGTGATGGTTACAAAACTCTCTGAATATACTAAAAGCTATTGAACTATACACTCTAAATGGGTGAATTGTATGATATGTGAATTATATCTCAATAAAGTTGTTTAAAAAAGAAAAGAAAGGACGGGAGATCATCATAAAACCAAGAAGCATGGCCGTTCATTTCCAAATGCTCTGGTCATCCCTCACTATCTCAGGTCCCTTTCAGCTGCACCGAGTTTCCTGACTTAGAGGCAACACCAAGTTCTCATTCACTGTTTCAGACACATTTGAACTCTTCCTCCCCCAGCATCCTGGGGCCCTTGAACAGCCTACAACCACAGCACAACAGCTACATTCTCTTCCACCATGGAACCTCCACCAGCCGCCACCCCAGTCCTCCTTGGCCTTTGAGGCCATGTTCCAAATTACAGAAAGGGACCGAGAGAGCAGGATAAAGCGAGAGAGAGCTACCATCGTGGGGAGACGGTTCAGGGTGCTGAGCAGGGACGTGTACTCACGGGGGAATGGCAATAAACTCTTGGTCTCAGGTAAGAACCCCTGGGAGTGGGGAGCAAGGCTGGGGAGACAAGGGAGAGATTTTCCTAATAGCTTTCTCCCAGACTTACTGGCCATCCCAAACATGAGAGGTCCGGGTGGAGAGGACTGGCAGATGATCTCACCAGGGGCTTTCAGTAAGGCAGAAACAGCAAGACCATCTTGTCAGTGTGACAACCATGATCAAAGCCCCAACTGGCGTTCTTCAAGGAGTATTGCAGTGAGGAATTTAAAAGCATCCCGATAACTGACTTCTGACAAAATACCCAAGAAAACAATGTACAAAACTATGTAACCATAAAATATAAGAGCAAGCATAAATGAGATTATTAATCCAATGATATGGATTATGCCTTTAACCGTGTACCAGGTACTGCCCACGCACAGTGTTTTCAGAAGAGAGAAGCTCTCCTCTCACCTTTCAAGTCGTTGGCTGCACAATCATGGTGGTGCTGCTCATCTTTCTAGCAGCTCATTTTCTTTATCATTCTGACTCTCAAATCTCTATCAGAACTGGACCTCACATGGCCAGTAGTCAGTGGAATGTAGCAAAGCCCACCCTCAAAAACCTTGCCAGATTTCATGAAAAAACAACAAGAGTCCTTCACCTGAAACTAATATAACATTGTATGTTAAGTAGCTGGAATTAAAAACAAAAACAAAAACAAAAAAAACGAACAAAGTTATCTGGTTAGATCCTAACACAAAAATTGGTATGGCATGGACCCAACCAAAGCTCCTTACTGACTGAATAGAAATATCCACTATATATCCCACAGGTCTTGGAAGTTGAGCTCAGATATCCAGAACCAAGGACCCACGTACATAGGGCTCTTCTAACTTATTCCAGTTAATCTCCCAGGAGAGAGGCTCTGGCTCTTCTTTTATCTTCTCAGAAGACAATAAACAAAATTGTAAAAACCACTAACTGTTTCCCCCCAAATCTGTGAACGGACAGTTAAACTAGTATTTTTGTTTTGCTTGTTTTTTAAATGAAACTTTACCCCTATAATTTCTATGCATAATCTTTTTTAATAAAAGCACAGGAGATAGCCACGTTGGAATGTGAACCACGCACAGCCTGCGCATGCCTACCTGCAGCATATGACCGCTTTACAGGAGAGCGCCAAATCCAGGAAGCTTCTCCTGACTTCAAAGGAGAGCGCATATTTCAGGGTATGGCCATCGATGATGAGGGCCACGTCATTCTCCTTGCCCAACAGATTCCCAAGGTCAGTGCAGTGCTGCGTAATGGCTGCCCTTGTTGCCTGAAACAAGAGTGGGGGGGGGTGTTATGTTTTTATGTGTTCAATATATCAAAAACAGAACTTAAGAAAAAAATCAAAAGTTCCTGAAAGTGAGGACAGGCCCATTCTAATATAAAACATACAGAGTTTAATTTGATGTGAGTATACATAAATGTACATTAAAATTCCATTGAACTGCCTGCTAGGTCTGTTTTATGGGTGAAAACATCCCCTTTAATGATATTTACATTTGATATTTACAATAACCTACTCTGGTTGCAGTCTAGGCTGAACCAGAGCATCCAAATTCTTCTCCATTGGAACTTTAATTGTTAAGGTTCTTATGACTGTTTTTCTCCCTCCTCCTTTATAATACATATATATTATTCTTGGTGCCTCTAGAATGGGAAACTCCATATAAACCAAAGTGTGATGTTGTTTTTTTGGTTTTTTTTTTTTTTCAAAAGATAAAGTTGCTAAAACTTAAATGGCAAACATTTCTCAGTTTGCACAGATAATCTCTAAAGCCTCCAAAAGGTATTAGGGGATATACATAAAAGATTAATTTCTATCCTCTGCTGAAATCTTCAAATTAAAATTTCTCCCCATGGGTCATTAGAAGAAGACACAAACTGATCATTTTTTCATGTTACAGAAAATATCTAATCAAATTAAACATTTTAAAACAGTACTTTTTAAGACATCACTACCAGCCGAAATAAGTGCCTTGGTGTGATGTCTTAATCAGATGCAATTAAAGCACAGCATCTTTCTTCAGATTTAAAAAAAAAAAAGTATGTCTGACTTCCCAGTTGAATTTATGACTATGATTAGGATATCTGGTTCAAATATAAGAATGAAATCTTTAGCTCATAATAAAAAATATGGTTTAAGTTAATGAGGGGAGCACAAAAGTCTGCTGAAATTATCTGTCTGGACAACTGTCCTTTGGCTATTAAACTACATTTATATATAATTTATCCACCTGATAACATAAATTACCACCTTAAAGAAATATGTCGAATGGACAGGAATCTTTCTACCTCTAGTTAAACTGAGGATCAGCTACCATCACAAAGGGCGGCACAAGTTCTATTGTCTCACTGCTCCGTTTTCATTCTTGACAAGAGACTTGAGACAACACTTATCAGAAAGATGTATTTGAGGCATAACTGTGGTCTAGAGTCCCGTTCTGTGCTCAGATGGCTCAGGGTCTGGTCTCAACTCTCTACTTATTACCTCTGTGACCTTGGGCAAGTTACTTGGCCTCTTTAAACGGCAATTCTTTAGTGTAAAACAGAGCTAATAGGTAACCTCATAGCACTTTTGTTACAAACAAATGAGCTAATTGGTGCCACCTGCTTAACACTGGGCTTGGCACATTATAAGCACTCAACGAAGCCCATTCTTCCTCTGGTTACTATTTATGCACTAAGAATTTCCTACATCTAGGAAAATACACAGTGGTACTACTTGAGGCGGGGAATAAATGCCATCACTGACAATGCCTTCTTTGTCAAGGTAATAACAGAAGCATAATTGATAGAAGAGTATCCTAAGAATAAAAGTTGACTTTTAGTAAAAATAAAGGAAACTTTATACTTTTTCACTCTTCATTAGTTGCATAATTCTGAATCTCAGAAAAAACATCTATGTTTACCTTATCTGTGCAAACAGCCTGCCCTTTAGAATCTGGGTAGAAAAACTCCCACCCACTCAGGGAAATCCCGGTGTGGCGGCCTGGGTGTGCTCACCGGGGAGCTCAGACAAGTCTGGGCAATTCTGAGGAGTGTGCTTGCCAGGGGTCGATGCATGGTGGACAGAAAAACCTCCTGGGAAATATTTTACTCAAAGGGATGAGGCAAGCTCTGCAGATCTGGTCTGTGGCCAACATGCCAATACTACCGTGGAGGCACAGTCTAGCCCAGTGCCCTTTCCTCCCATTGCCACCCCCTCCCCATGGATTTATGGAGGAAAAGGTTGAAAAATACAAACCCCTGAGATAAGGAGACCCTGCCTGTGGCATTTTTGTAAGGGGGCACGTACAAATGAAGATATGCAGCGGTAGTAGTATTATAAAGGGTACTTTCTCCACGTGGGAGTATTTCTGGCCCACTCAGGAAGACAGACTGGACCCTTCTTCCTCAGCCTGAGTGTCGGCAGCTGACCACCTGTCGGGGTGTGAGGCTCTGGGCCATGAGCAGGGAGGGTGCCCAACACTGGGACTGTGAATGGCAGAAAGGTGGTTACTGCATGTAAATCTTCCCCTTCCTCCCACAGTCAGTCAATCCATCAACTGTGTAGGGAAGGACCTGAAAGGGAGCTGGAGTTTCAACATCGGCAGGCAGGGACACAGAGTCGCCCACGTGGCCCCTCTTCCTGAGGGCCTCCTATGCCACAGCCTGCAGTGGCCTGGGGAACACAGATGATACTAAATTGAAATGTTTTCAGGTTGAACCACGCAAAGTGCTATGGACTTTGGTATCCCCTGAAATGGAGTTGGTATCCCCTGAAAATTGAGACATTGAAACCCTAATCCCCAGTGTGATGGTATTTGAAGGTGGGGGCCTTTGGGAGGTCATTAGGTCACAGGGGCAAGCACTCACAATGAGATTAGTGCCCTTAAGAAGCTACAAGAGAGTTTCTTCCTTCTCTCCCTTTCTCTCTCCCCGCCCCACCCCACTTTGCCCCTTTGGCCACAGGAGGACACAGCATGAAGGCAGCCAGTCCATAAACCAGGAAGAGGGCCACTGTCAGACAATGGATCTGCGGGCACCTTGATCTTAGACTTCCCAGCCTTCAGAACCACGAGGAATGGATTTGTGTTGTGGAAGCCACCCAGGCTATGGTATTTTTAGTACAGCAGACTGAGCAAAGACAAAGACAACTCCCTGAGCCCACTGGTAATGCAGCACTACTACACTTGGCATAATGGATAAGAGATGAAAAGACATGGCTTGTGACCAAGACAACGTGAGGGCACACAGACTGAGCACGCAACAACTGCTCTCATGCTTCTTGTCTAATAAAATGTAGTAACTGCACAACAGATACGTGCGTAGTACCGAACATGGAAGAGAAGGCTACTAGTACACAGACGGGGTGGGAGGGCAGCCCCTGGCGTCCTGGAGCAGGAGATGCCCAATGGGAGTGAATGATGCCCCCGAGGCTGTGCCAAACTGCAGACTGTTAGAAACATGGCAGCCATGCTCTCCGGGCGTAGAGAGAGTGCCAAACATTACTGTTGCTATGTGGGCCATTCTGTCTTCCTGGTACATTTTGCATTATATTTTCCTTTCCTTTTTTCTTTTTTTCAAGTTTTTATTTAAATTCCAGTTAGTTAACATACAGTGTAATATTAACTCAGGCATAGAACCGGGTGATTCATCACTTCCATACAACAGCCGGTGCTCATCACATGCCCTCCTTAATCCCCATCACCCATTTCCCCCACCCCCCACCTCCCCTCCAGCAGCCCTCAGTTTGTTCTCCAGAGTTAAGAGTCTATTTTCTGGTTGATCCTTCTTTTCTTTGCATCTTACTCCTTTTGCTTGCAATGTTCTCTACTTCTCACCTCCGTTTCTACCTGAACCGTTCTGTTCTCTCACTTCATCTGTGCAGAATCACACCTTTGCCTGTGAGACTGAACACCTTCCTTACCACTAAAACCTCTCCAGATGCATCCTCCTACTCCACCCTTGACTTGTCTCCAGCCTCTACTTTTGTTTTAATTCCTCAGCTTTCAGTGCCCACTCGCAATAATCTCTGATCAAACCCAGACTAGCTGGGTTCACTGCACATGTGTGGCAGAATATAGGTCCCTTCTGTGCAGTTCTCAAGCAAGCCAATTGAAGGTATTACTATCACAAACAGTTCCTTATTCTCAAATGGACTATGATTCAAAAGTCTATTTGTAAGTTAGTTATTGGGCACTTAGAATCTATTTTCCCAAAGGAACGATGTTACAAATTGTGGTTGGATCCCAGGGCCTGTTAATGCCTATTTAGCCTAGTCGCTAAAATTTATACTGCAGTCTCTTATTTTAATAAAAAACCAATTACTGAAAGTTACAATGGACTTAGCTGTTATGAGGGGCATAGGGAGTTGGTACCAGGAGTTTCATTCCCAGAAAGATACAGAACATTCCAAACTCCTTCATGAGAATTTGCCTATTAGGCATTAATATAAAAAAATCTATTTCCAGGTTTTCATATGTGTTCTACAATTTTATTTTCCTTCACAATTAAAAACATGCACAATTTACAGCCAAAGCAAGCAAGTGCAACTACAGATTGTTCCCGTAGGCACGCCAAACACTCTCTCCTCTCCCTTGCTTGTGCTGTACTGGGAACCCTGCATTTCTTACCAGCAAGCTCAGCACTTGCCTTTGCATTCCCAGCTTTTTAAACAAAATCATGTAAACACCATAGACAGTGCCACCCTTGAGCTTGGGAAATGGCTGTCTGTCTGGTCACAGATCAGAGGTTCACCTGAGGTACAGTTGAAATTCAACCTGCTCAACTTACGCGCAGATGGGATCTGCAAGATGGTTCTACCGTGAGTTACTCTGGATTTAATAAACTGGGAAAGATGAAGATCTCTAGAATCTGGATGCCTGTCTACCAATTTGCAGGTAGCAGGAATCTTTCCTCAAAATAAAACCATTCCAGCAACACTGAAATCTGTCAAGGCAGGTAACCCTCCCTCTCCACGAGCTTGGCAGTGTCATAAGGAATTTCTTAGACACTGAGCTAGCAGCAGCTGCCTCAGAGCCCACTTTGATGTTCTGCAAATTCCAACGGGCTCAGAGCTGATGATGCTGAAAGCTGGACGGTTCAAGTTTCATGAGTGGCAATTCAGCCAAATCTTACTTCGCCTTCAGGAGCAAACTCCTCTCTCCTGAATTAACCATAAGCTAATGAGTATTTAACCATAATGCCCATCCTCTAGACCATGGGTTCAAAATGGTTTTGTTGTTCTTCCATTCCAGCCAGCCATCTATTTTTCTTGTCCCTTGCCAA